TTTCGTGTAGGCCGCGGCTCGCCCCGGCGGCAGAAGGGCCGGTAGTCGGAGGACGCTACACGTGAGTGTGTTTGGGGGGGGGGGGGGGGGGGGGAAAGGTAAAATTAAGTTGGTGACACTATTGCTTGTAAGGCTACCTGGCCATTTAATAGGCTTGGAATGAAAGTGTAACAGCTCCTCAATCATACAGCCTAAGATCAGCCTTTGCTCCTTGGTGTTAATAATCCAACAAAGAAACATCCAGATCACTCTCCTTCCCCCACAAATCATCTCCTCTCGTGCTTAACGAGGTTCCAGTTGTCAGAGTCAAGTCCCAGCAAACCTGTTTCCTTCACAGTTCTCACAATTCATGCAACCAAACCCTAGTTGTACTGCAAGCTGATGCCGACATGATCCAAAAGCACTGTTTCCTAGTGATGCATCTTTTGGAGCCCATTCAAGACACTTCTATATATGGCATTCTCACAGGTTAATGACAAATAAGAGTTGACTACTGATCTTTTGGGGTCAGATTTGTGAGGGGAAGGAAAAGTTAACAGTTATCACAGTTTTCTTATTTTGTCCAAATTTCTTCTGGATTATTTTTTTTCTTTTGGGTGCATGTGGACAATATGCTGTACTCCACTATGGGTTTTGATTTTTCTGTTTTGGTGGGGTTTTATGGAGGGTTTCTTTTTGAACAAATACATCCACTTAGAAAAGGATGAAAGACTGCTCCACGTCTTGCAGTAAGCAAAAAATTAAGGATTTGCAACATTCCTTAATGAAAAAGACAGGTCACAGAAAGCCATTCAAAACCACACTGCAAAGACAAACATTACAAAATGCAAATCAACTTACTTGGAAACAAGAGAGAAAGCTGCTGAACAGATTGCTGGGCAGGGAACAAGCCTGATTAAGATGTGGCCTAAAGCAGCAGGGAAATGGGCTCGGGTCACTTTCTCAAACACAGAGGTGAAGGTGTTGATGTCTGCCACTTTGCTGCTGTGGTCCCCACCTCCAGCATCCAAGATGTTCCCTCCATGTAGAATCAAAATTAGTACATGAGTTTTGCAGTTTTGGTGTTGAACTCCTTCCTGTGAGAAAAACAAGGAATAAAAAGGGAGGCAGAGCTGGTATGGACAGTGTTGGTATACTTGGTGTTAATGTTCACAAGCAGTTAGCAAAGATTTTTTCTCCCACCCCCACTAAGATCTTCTTGTGATATTTGCCTTCACTGGGGGGCCACAGTGGGTGCACCCCATGTTCCATTTAATTCAAGTATGTCTGAGCCAGGCAGAACACACGATGTACACTCTGCCAGAAAACCCCTGCAGCACAACAAAGATTATAAACAGCTTTATGTACATTAAAATCTATTTTAAATATATTTGAGATGGGAGAAGAATTCCAACATCCAACAGAGAGCCTAAGCGAACATCTTATCTAACTATCATGAACAAGGCTGCTGCATTTACTGGAAAGGTTCTAACTCAAATCATCACAGGTTCTAAAAAGACATATTTCTCTGCCAATGAAAACATCTAGCAAAAGCAGATGATGCAGTTATCTCAGCCTTTTGAGACTGGCAACTTTTTATTGAAGTGAAACATGGGACAAAATTACTCAGACCTTTACTGAAAAGGTAAAAAATGTATCATTGCTGATATCCATAAACCTCACAAATATGTTTATGAATATGTGAATACGTGCATACACAGACAATAATCTGTGTGCTCTGCAGAACAAACAAGATGTTATCTACTTGAGACTGGAAAAACATTTTGAATCTCTCAAAAATCCACTTTTTTTTCTCCTCTACCCCTTGAGAGTTATGTGCCCTCAACGGTTCTGTAATACATTAAAAGATTAGGAGATTATTTGTTTTTAAATTTTGACTGCCATTTTCTTCTTTGCTTTGGATCATACGATTCCTGGAAACTTCTATTTCCTGACCAAATAGAAACACAAAATAAAAATAAGAGTAACATTTCTTATATTTGTCAGAGGACTGTTAATTGCTAGATTGGGTGATTTACTGAGAATCGGGCAACGTTCTTAACGCTTTATTCTCAAATTCTGGAACAAATGCCACAGTATTCAACAATAAATATAAAATGAGAAGAACTGCTCTGACTTTAACAAGAATAACTTTAATCAGGACAGCTCACAAGTAAACACACACATCAAGCTGTAGTTTAGTGAGGGGTATGGGTGGAAATGTGGTTGAGATGGACAAAGCTAAAGTAACTTTAGCACCTGTAGAGAAGTGGCTGAAAATGAGAGAATTATAATTTGTCCATAAAGCCAGTATTCCACATGTCCACTCCTTGGAAATAAGCAGAGCTTGTTTTGGGAAAAAAAAATCTCACCTCATTGTCCTCATGTATTTCAATACTGCCTTGTGCTGGGAACCTTTGTTTTCTTAAAGAGGCTCTATATAATTCACCTGAAAGGAAAAGAGACATAATCAATCATTTAAATATTTGGCTGCCTCACATTTTACAGATATTTATGGAGGTAAGGCACATTTCTGGTTTCAAGACAGAAAGATCTGTTCACAGAAAATCCTGTGGACAAACAGAACAACAGACAAGGTTTCATGCAGCCCTACATATTAGAGGCTCTTCCGTTCTTAACAGCAACACTCCAAACAGGATTCGGGTCCTTATATAGAGGTCTGCAGCACCAGCACAGCTGCTGTGGGTCATCTGTGCCTTTCTGGAGCAGCAACAGCAAAGGTCACCTGAGGTTCTGCATCACTTCTGCTCCTCCCATACAGAAATCTTAGATACTCTGGTATGTCTGAAACAGCACTAAACACCTATATATAGGCAAGTGAACTTTCTCCCAAGGATCAAGCTCTTCCACAAACCTTTGTACTACCTGGGAAACTCCCAGCAGTAACTGCAGTGCTCCATTACCAGGAGTAACAAAAAATAGGAGTAACAGATGAAAGCAAAAAATAGTTTCTCCTCAAAAAGTCCTGTAACCTGTAAAATAGGAAGTGTCATTGAAGAGATACACAGGGCTCTGCTAATACCTTTCCACAACAGGATCGTGCATGCAACATCCTCCACTATAAACACAACAATGAAAGTCTCTGCATTGACTTCAGAGCATGACCAATGGGCAAAACCAGATGGACACAAAGACCTCTTGTGACTACTTCTTGGGCATACTGGCCTGACAGTAACTTGCTGTAAGCGGTGGAACATTCACTGTATCAGCTTTAAGACCGTAAGACTGTCCACTGTCTGACCCTGGGAAGCAAAACTTAGGAAGCATTTCTTTGTAGAGAGAGTGGTCAAACACTGGAACAGGCTTTCTAGAGAGGCGGTCAATGCCCCATGCCTGTCATCGCTTAAGAGGCATTTGGAAAATGCCCTTAGTAATATGCCTTAACTTTTGGTAAGCCCTGAAGTGGTCAGGCAGTTGGACCACATGATCGTTGTAGGTCCCTTTCAACTGAAAATATTCTAATCTATAAAACTTCTATAGCTATATATGAAAAGTCTTGCCCTCTGAACAGATCTCTGTCCTTGAGGACCAAAAAGTTGATGATACAACAGTATCCAATTTCCTTTTTTGTGTGTGTGCTGTGTTTCTTCGGTCATCGGAGAGAATTGCTACAGGATCTTTATGGTCTCTTCATAATGCAGTCTTTTTTCTAAAGCTGCATGTGTGTTACCTAGGAAACAGCTGTAGGATGAAATTTGATTAGCACTGCTGTCAGCTTCATTGTCACATTTATACATGGGGCCAATTTCTTCCCTACAAATTAAAGGAATGTTCCATACTCCTGTCTCTAACAGCACTTATGAGGCACCTACATCAGAGGAGATGAGCAAAGCTTTGCAAAAAACCACACTGAAGCCCACCTACTCACACTTTAGCTTACAGGGTTTTGCAATCAGATCCTGGACCACTGATTTCTCAGGTCAAGAAAGAGGAGGCAAGAAGAAAAACATCAAACTTCTGATTTGCTGCTGTCTCCAAGAGGGATTCTACTAGCTATTGTGCTTTGTTTCCAAAGACAAGGACAAGAAAGTGACTGCTAGTAGTCAGCATGGACTTACAAATGGAAAATCATGCCCAATCAAATTGATAGCATTCTGTGAGGAGACGACTGGCTTGGTGGATGGAGGAGGAGCAACAGATGTTGCTTCTCTCAACCTTAGTAGGGCTTTCAACACTGCCTCTCATAACATCCTCATAGAGAAACCGAGAAAGCGCAGGCCACTTAAGTGGACAGTGAGATGGACTGAAAACTGGATGAACCACCAGGCTTTAAGGGTTGTGATCAGCAGCACAAAGTCTCCAGCTGGAAACCAGTGACCAAGGGGTCACTACTGGTTCCAGTCCTGTTTAGCATCTTTGTTAATGACCTAGATGATGGGACAGAGTGTACTCTCAGCAAGCTTGCAGACAATACAAAACTGTGGAGAGTAGCTGAAACACCAGATGGTTGTGCTGCCATTAAGAAGGATCTCAACAGGCTGGAGAAATGGGTGAAAAGGAATCTCATGAAGTTCAACCAACTGAAATGCAAAGTCCTGCATCTGTGGAGGAATAACCCCACTTAACAGCACAGGCTGGGTACCAATCATCTGGAAAGCAGCTTTGCAGAAATGGACCCGAGTATCCTGGTGGACAACAAGTTGACCTGGCCCCAGCAATGTGCCCTTGCAGCAGAGTGCCAACCGCATCCTGGACTGCATTAGAAAGAGTGTCTGTAGGCCAAGGGAGGTGATCACTGCCTTCTACTCAGGACTGGTGAGACAACATCTGCACTGCTGTGTCCAGTTTTGGGACCCTCAGTATAAGAAAGACATGGATTCACTGGAGCCAGACCATCAAAGGGAGACAAAGATGATTAAGGGACAGGAGCACTTGACAAGAGAAGTGGCTAAGAGAGACAGGACTGTTTGTCCTTGAGAACAGAAGGCTTGGGGTGTGTGGGGGAAATCTCATCAATGTGTATACCTGACAGGAAGAAGTAAAGAAGATGGAACCAGAGTGCTCTTCATGATAGTCAGTGAAAGGACAAGAAGAAATGGGCACAAAGTGAAATACAGGAAATTCCACTTAAATACAGGAAATCACTTTTTTACTGTGAGGGTGGTTAAACACTGGAACGCGTTGTACAAACGAGCTATGGAGTCTCCAGCCTTGGAGATATACAAAACCTGACTGGATGCAGCCCTAAGCAATCTGCTCTAAATGGCCCTACTTTGAGCAGAGGAGTTGGGCTACAAAATCTCCAGAGATCCCTTCCAACCTCAGTCATTCTCTGACTTAGAAGACATTGGAACACAATATTTAGTTTTTTCTTGGCCTTTAAAAGATAACATTATAACCTACAAACCAGATATTTGGTAGGATGCTCTCTCTGACTTTCTAGCAGTATGATGAAAACTCCAGTTTTACAGCACTCAACTGGCTTTCTTTAAAAGGTGCTAAAAAGAGAGTAGCAAACCCAAAATCTGATTATTTTCCATTTAGATTTTAAAACGTCTACGATGTGACTGCTTCTGCTATTATCTCCATTTCCTAGCAGTGACTTTTTACTTAAGACAGGAAACAGATAACATCTACAAGTAAATCTGAGAGGAAGACTTGAACACCTAACCCACGGGCAAGTTGAGTTTATTTGTTTAGTCTGCTTGCATTCTATGAACCAACCAATATTGACCTATGAACAACAAATCCACTTCCTTTGAAATACAAACTCTAGTGATACCTAAACCAGTAGAGATACAACCTGCTTTATCTCTTAAATGTGCTCCTATTAATGAGTTTTCCTACTCATTTCACGATGCTTGCTTCTTTACCCTATATGCCGTTGATCTCCAGAACATTATTTTCCTTCTAAGATACAGAATATTAAAAGTTACAAGTTAGTTGTCACTTATTAAAATGTGCCAAAATGGCAAAATTGCCATGATTTACTGCTAAATCCAGCATCTCAACCTCTGCCTAAATATAACCACTCTTATGTAGTAGGAAGCAACAGAGAACAGCAAAAGTTCTTTATGAGAACTATGATATGGTCAAACTATGCCAGTCTTTCCTTTAAAAGAAAAAAATTACAAACTAAAAGTGCCAGGCTGTCTTTACTAGCAGCTTTTATTCCTATACCTCAGTGGACTTAAACAGAGAAATTAAAAATTGCAACATCTTACTGAAGGGGAATTACTTCAGCTGAAGTTATGGGGGTCAGTTCTTTGGGGAAGGCAAATGTGCTTTTTCCTTCTACAGTCAGTGATGAAATTCCATACAAGATGTGAATCCTCCTATCTCTGTAACACCTCTCCTTGGGGGAAGGAGGCGGCTGTGAAACCTTTCAGACTGACAACACCAGAAATTTGCAATTTAAAACTTCAGCTGACTGCAGTGTTGCAGTCTTAAAATTCTACTCATCTCACAGGAGTTAGCTGTTCCGAGAAAAATGGGGAGGCCTTCCTCCCTCCATGACAGATACATGTTTTAGGAGTGAATGAGAGAGGATTGCACTAAATAATAAAACCAATTTAAACACATTTTCCTCTGTTTCTTCCAGCACCTCAAAGACAATAAATGCATCACATAATGCTATAGATGACTCAGTTTACTTTTCTTTCTGGCATTCTGCGTTCACAGCCTGTTTGTGGTTTCACTCCATCTGACTTGTGCTTATGGGCCATCTGCCAGACCCTACCAGTGCCAACTGTAATTTTCACCCCACCAAGAACACTGATTAAACAGGGTCTGGGCCAGGTTATTCTAAAAGCACTGAATTTAGTCCAAAACACATTTCAAACACTCTGTACTCTTCTGCATTAGGATTGAGAGCTAATTCTAACACCAGCAGATTCTACCATCACCATTCCTTATAGCCACTAGAAATGTATTTAACCTCTATGGCTACATTTCTCCATATTTAAAAGCAAGGTAATTATTCTTGCCTTTCTGGCAGGCAAGACTACAGGATTAGTCATTTAATACTTGTATAAAACAAAACAATACAACAAAACCCAAAACCACAGAAAACAAATCCAACAGCAACAACACACCCCCATAAACCCTGAACTTCCACCAAATGCAATTGCACTGGAAGTCCCTGCATTTTAAAGTTGCTTCTAATTAAGTGATTTTTCCAAAAGCCTGTCCAGAAGACTCACTTTTTTTCTGACAGTCATCATATGAAAAAGTGACAGTTTTTTAACATCTAAGCTCACAACAGAACCAGTACCACAGGAACGTTAGTTTTGTATCATTAAAAAGGATTATTCAGGGCCACGAGGCACCACCTTCCAGTGAACCACAGTACTTATCTTTAAGAGAATACTGGAACAGTAACCCCAGGACGACTCATTATCTGCTCACAAACCTCTTTGGTTATCTACCTGCAATGCACTAAACAAAACACTTCCTGGGATTGCTTGTGTGCCATTCCTTTGAAAATCTTGTTCTAAAGATACACTTTTAGAAGCGGAGAGGGTGGTTTCTTTTCCCCTAACGCATCAAATCGAAGGTTGCAGGGTAGTTCTTTGCTTCACACACACACAAATGTCATAGATAACGGGACACCAGGATTCTAGTCATTGTTTTAATCACAATTTCTATTCTAATGTTAAAGTAGCTCTCTAACTGGGCTTCTTTCAAAACTGCTTTCTCACTTCAGCTGAGAAAAAGAAAGAAAAAAGCACAGTATCAATTTGCAGTACTAGAGATTACAGAGACTATGACGCACAGATCAGTTTGTGGAAGCATACAAGGTATTTTTTTCTTTAAGACATACCAATGTGCTTAAGACAGTTCAACTGTCTTCTTAACACTTCTGCACTGCCAAAAGTTCAGGCTGCAGCAATGTTAGAACGTATAGTATCTTGTTTTGAAAATCTGCACCTAGAAGTACAGTATTAGCATAAAAGAATGAGAAGGTCTGGAAAGAAAAAGAAAAAAAAAAAAAAAAAAAAGGAAAAAAAAGGCAAAGGGGAGTCAGGTGTTTTTTTTTTCTGATTTGCAGCACAAGTAAATGAGGAATTTCAATGGATCTTCAGCACTGTGCTGCCCAAAGAAACACACTTCCCTGAATTCAAAGTAGTCCCAGAGTTGGGGCAGGACAGGGGGCTTGCGTCGTGCATGTGGATTGTGTGATGGGATGAACACATGCCTTTATTTCAAGGGATGTGCTGAGCACATGCTTTGGAAGATAATCAGATTTTGGGTTTACATATTGTTTAGGTTAAATACCAGAGACTAAAATAACTGGGAGACCTTCTCTGTCGTGATGACAATACAAAGGGTAAGACTATTCAGCAGCTAAGGCTCTGTAGGAGACAGAAACAGACAGTATGACCTACTAGAGAAAATGACAGAAATTTAATTAGGCACTGAAATGAAACTGATTACAGAGAAATTACGTGTTTTACTTTTTACTGGAAGGGCTTTAATGAGGTAAAATAATAACATGGTTTTGCTGGACTGAACCTCTCTGATAACATTATAAACATTTTAGAGATTTTTCCAGCTGTCTTGATTCATACCACTATTATACCAATTTATGCTAATTGTATCATTACGTAAATTACAGTAACAAAAAAGGTACTCAAATCCCATACAGAGTCAGAAACCAGTGTGCTGTAAGAGCTTACATTGTACCAGCCAGCAGTGCAGTCAGGAAACATCAGGGTGGGATAAGATTAAAAACTTTCTGTTAATCTGTTTTGTCTTGTTTTTTAATTAACCTGCAAATGCATCAGCTACCGAGTCCACCAGGCTTCTCAAACCTGGAACAAGGAGGGGAGACATAGGAATAGGAGAACACACTGAAATCTCATTCCCCAAGGTCAGGCCCTCTGCAGACACCCAAACTAACCAGTCAGTCGTGGGTAGGTGGTAGTAGGGGTGATTTAAGAAGTGTTTGATTTCCCCATTTCCTCCCCAGGGAGGACATTTTAAGATAAACTCTGCTCAGGAGCTGTAATCCAGGCTTTGACAAACGCCTTCCCTAACTTTCTACAGGTTTGTAGTCTGATACCAGCAACAGAAGTATCAAGGATGGAAACAACAAAATTAATGCTATTATATTCCAACTGTAACAAGTCAAATGAAAAGAATACGTCTCTCATTCTCTTTGGGGGGAAAGAAAGCAAGAGAGAGAAGCTGAAGCCTTGGAGAAAGTAAACCCTGTCAACTCAATCTGAAAACTGAAAACAGAAAATCCCATGTTTGGATGAAAATCTGAGACAAAACAGCATCCTGGAGACACATCCTGTAATCCAGGGCTAACTCAGCCAACCTGGAATACCTGGTAACCTTAATTAAAATAGGTGGCCAAATGTAAGTGCTGTGAATGATTTGATTTCGCTGAGAGCATATTGGGTACTCAATGGGGAAACAGTGACCTCATTAAACAACTATGTCAACCGCTGAGTAAAATCAGAAACTGACACTTATCTGTTGCTCATCAGATGCTGAACCATAAGGAAGACACCTCACAGTCCTAAATTAAATGCAACCATGCTGCAGAAATTATACTGCTTTTTAGTCTGGCAGTCAGTAACCAGGAACAGTGGCTACCACCTCAGCTAACTGATTTAATGACTAGGTAAGAGATTTACCAAGTTTATCTGGAGACAGAAACATATGCTGCTACCACAGATACCAATGAGCAAACATCTCTGGCAGGGAGTGTTTTGGACTCAAATTCCCACTGGAATTGGTATGTATGTTGCAGATGTTCCTCAGTGACTTATGGAGATGTCAAGCAAGTTGTGAGTCTATAGCCTCGCCTGAAATAACTCACTGCCCAAAGAGTCCCTTCATGTGGTGTACATCAGGTCTCAAGATCACCTACCAGCATTAGAGGAGAGCCAGGTGAAGGGAAAAGCTTAGTGATTCAACACCCCCAATCAGCCATGAAAATCATCGGTTCATTCTGTGACAAAAAAGTAAGTAAATAAGTACCCTGAATCTAGGAGAAAAGAATTCGCACCATCATTCCCAAACTTCTGAGAACATGAAGTACAGTTCAAAGCTGTACTAAGAATCAAGCCAGGTCCTCTTTTTTTTTTTCTCCAGACCATTTCAAACATCCCTACCATTTTTGCCCTGTTAATTAAGGAGGAATTGAGAATAAAAGCAAGAGAACTTGCTTTAGGTACAAAGCATAAGGTGGTGATAGTCCCCAAAGAAAACTGCTATTTCCATTATCACACTCCCATGAGAAATTATGCCATTTCTTGCCATCTGCTGTGCTATTACTAGCCGTTTATAATGACAAATCCGTCATGAGAAATATGTTCACATGAAGGCTGTAACATATGCTTTCTATTAACAAATGATAAAGAATATTTTAATACACTGCAGATGCAGTTTCACAAACTGCTCTGTGTAGAGGAAAATAATGGCATGCATCACTGAGCCCAACCCTGTTCTGGAAGCCACAACATGAGATGGCGCCTGTGTTAACTTCCCCTGTTTCCTCACGCGCTGCCAGATCTCCAAGATGCCCACTGAGGAGCACTGCAGGAGAAGCCACACATAGGGTTTAGCAGAGGATCCAGGCTCCAAGTGCTCCTCAGCTCCAGTCCTCAGAGCAGCCCAGATGAGCTGGGCAGAGCATGATTTCCAGAAAGAAAGGCGCCGCAAGGAGCAACAGCATGTGCTCCTGAACACAGCTGCAGGAACAGCAGTTGCTTCACTGTGAACTCAGTGAGGGCCAGGGACAATAGTGCCCAGAGAGAACTGTGATAAAAGAAAACACCCTCATTAACACCACCCATTTCTATCAGCCAATTTTCTTTCTTCAGCAAGCAATGCGAAAGCACAGAAAGACCAGCAGTAGAGCAACACGTTAACACACCCCTCAAAGCGGGGCACCAGCAGCAAAGGAACCCTAGCAATGCCAGGTATGGCATTTTCACTCCTATAGCAATATAGCACTTTAACAGCAACACCTATTGCACACCTCTTCAAGTAGAGATAGGAGAAAGAAGTCCAGAGCACAAAGCACTGAAGGCTTCTACGCCCCAAATCAAGTCACGTTGTACTGTCCTGGATGAGCTGTCACTTATACACGCAGCTTCACCTTCCAATTCTCCACCTCTGCCACTCCAGCCAGTGCTATAAGGAGCTATCTAATGTGTTAAATAATGTTGCAAGCACTTTCTTGGTACATTTTCACAATCCACATCCAAAATAAAACATTTAAAACTCAAAAGAATCCTGGTCCCTCCACACTCATCTCCCTTCTCAACATAACGTAACACCAGACCTGTGCTATTCCATTACTATCTCCAGTTGCTTGGTACAAAGACAAACGAAAAGAACTTCAACTCACGTTGTTTTTCCTGTAGAAAGCCAGATGAACAAAATGCAGACTCTTCACCTGCAAAAGGAAAAAACACAGTGTGAATCAGGATTGCTTTATGTGAACATCAAGCTCTTTACTGTAATGCAGTAAGTATTTTGCAATTGACCACCATGCTGATTTCTAAAACTCCCATTGGCTTCAGTGGGAATAGCTCAGCATATGACACACTTGAAAACTGCTCCAATCTATTCATCAAAATGGTTAGTCTAGAAGCTAGATTTTACTCTTCATTTCAAGAAAGGCATCATAAGCAATGAAACCATAGCTAGGAATCCATTTGCTTACCTGTAGAATTATCCACTGAATCTTTAAATAACTAAGAATTAGTATAACTTATCTAGCAACACAAAATAGATTCTTATTCCAAATATTTAATTAGCAGTGTTTTCAAGAATGTCTCTGTCCTTTGGTTCCCTCCCACAGTCCACCTGTCCAAAGAAAGTTGCAAGCACAAGTGGATTTTCTCAGCTCTATATACAAAAACCTAAAATTCAGAAACAAGGATATGGGAATAGAAGGGCCTTTCATTTAGTTTGTGCATATGGATAAAGGCCTCCTACAGCACTCAGTTTACTTCTCCCCTTTTCTGCCATGGAGAGTAGACACCTTTGCACTGCACCACTACAGAAACGACCAACCCAGAAATGAGGAATGCCACTCGTCACCAGTCTCCACTGGGACACTGAGCCATTGCTTGACTGCAACTTTTTGAGTGTGGCCATACAGCCAGTGGTCCACCCATCAAATCCCCATCTCTTCCATTTAGAAACAAGGATGTTGTGTGGGACAGTATCAAATGCTTTGCACAAGCTCAGGGAGATGATGTCAGTTGCTCTTCCCTTATCCACCAATGTCAGAAACTCATCATAGAAGGCCACTAAATTTGTCAGACACAATTTGCCTTTGCCTCTATGCTCTAACGAAGTGTTAAATATGCTCAACAGAGGCATACTTTCATATGAAAATATTTTTATATTTTTCCAGATATTTTCATCACACAGTAATTTTCACAGAATCTGCAAAAAATTGCGACTTCTCTGGCCTGGAATTAAAAGATGAACTGCAATTACTCTAGCCATATGTGACCAGCTATTGCAATGCTACAAAAACAATTAGCAACCACTTCTTTGGGCAGTGTTGAAAACAGAACAGAATCCACCTTACTTTTCCATAAAGGATTGGTAACCCCAGTAGAAATTAACATATCTGTTCACCAGAGAAAAGTATCTGCAGGTCAAAATACGATTCACAAAGTTACCTCTAGTGTCATGTTCCAGTGCACAGTCAACATACGTACATCACACACACATTTATCTTTGCAGATCTGTGCTACTGAGGTGTCAGGGGGCATTTCGTACAGTTCTGGTCTCTCTGGAATTCCATCGCTGATGGCATTGGAAGATGGCACAGCAGAACAGAGCTGGGTCCCTCAGCACCAGTGAGGTGTCGAGGGACTCCTCCCCACACATCCAGTCCTGCACCATCAGCTCCCGCAGTGCCAGCAGGCTTTACACTGTGTACGACCTTCTCTGTTCTAATCACTTGAATTCATCTGACAACATCACCATACCACCAGAACAAACAATGATCATGCTCCACTTCAGAATGTGGCTTTTGGCCCAGCAAGAATACAGAGAAATTTGAATTCGGAATAGAAAAATCAGGGGTTTTAATTTTTTTTAATTTTTTTAATGCCATGGCAAACATACCACCAGTGTCAGCCAAATTATGTGAAACTTGAGAAAGCAGGGGGAGAGGAAAGGCGGTAATGTAGCTGCAGATGGTGTGACCCTCTGGATGGGCACGGCAGCCAGGGAGAGTCGAAGCCCGGTGGAGCGGATGGAGAACACATGCTGATTTCAGCATGTGGACTGGATGTTAATACGGGCTGAAAAAGGAAATGGAAACCTGTGGAGGGACTGCAAGGAAAGCAATACTCTCTGCAGCAGGACTCGGCTCTCAGCTAAAAGATACCTTAGCGGCCAGTTTAAGCTTCCTCCATTTTCATGCATTTGCTGATCCGCACTCTAGAACATACAGCATCAAAAATTAAATGACGACAGTTTTAGAACACTGGTAACCTGCCCTCATATAAAATGTTACCATGGATGATTTGCAGAAATCCGATCCATTGCTTCTCTCTAAAACCTGCTGCTAGAAGTAAATCTGTTCTTTATATAAGCCATCTGATGAGTTTTGGAACGCTGCTGACTATTCTGATTTCGATCCTTCCATCGCTCACTCCACTAAGCCAAATTTTCTGTTTGCCATTCTTCACATTATTAGGAAGTGGCAGATGCTATTGCCATACATTTAATAGCAGCGTAAACACTACAGTCAGCTATGTGCAAACAGCCTTTAATTAACTACATGACTCTAGGAGGACATGGCAAGGAGGGGGAGATCAGATGCTACTAGGGGAACGGAAGAGAGCAGTTTGTGTACACAGAGAACACTCACTGTGGACAAGACTAGGCAAGGCAGCCTTCAGAGGAGAGAGAAACACTAGCACAAGGTAAAAATCAGTATACTGAAAGCAGAATCATGACAGCATAGAGAGCTTTCTGTTACATTGAGTGTTTTGACCATTGCGAAAACGTTGGAGAACCTTTGAGATACAGATGTAGCAAAGGAGACTGAATCAGTGAGCCAACGAAAAATGAGACCGGATGAAGAACTCACTAAAAACATCTTAGCATGCACGCAATCCTTCACAGAAACACTGCTGTCCTTAGGACTTTAATGGATCCAACTCAACATGGCTCATAGTTCCAGATACTGTAGGTTCACATCCACATCACAAGTATCTTAACAAAAAGTCTAAACCATTCAAGGCAAAAAATTAACCATGCCCATTTAAGTTGAAAATACCGATTCACAGCCAAGTTGGAATACCTGCAACATTTCCTCTTTATTCTTTTGACATAATCATCAAATCTAAGTTCCTTTTTTTAAATATTAGAAACGCAAAATTCAATGAAACAATTAAGACCCACATATAATTAGGCTGAAAAGAAATTAGTTGATTCCATCTCTACAGGTTTTATACACAGGAAAGGATCATGAAGGAATTGTATGTATTTCACATTATTATATAAGGAAATTATACAAATATACAAACTAAACAAGGAAAGAAAACAAGAGAGGAAAAAAAATCAGGCCAATCTTGCCTGAAAATACTGACCTTAAAAATCAACTTAACAGCTGCCTTCCTGCCATACTTTGCAGTTAACTCAGGGCTGATTGCTAGAGCCTTGGCAGTTTTCCTTGCCAAAAGTGTATATAACCATTGCACAAGAAGCTGAAGCCTCTCTTTTACTCACAGAAGACCTTTCTCTTTCCCAGACACCTTCTATGCCACCTTTCAGTGAAAAGGCAGCGTGAGAAGAGCAAAGCCTGGCAGCCTTTGCCTAGAAGAAATCTCCCTGGCATTTCTGGCAAGACAGACGGGAATCAGCGCTGCCCAGGAACGGCTGTTGGCTCACTGAGGACAGGCAGAAAACCAGAGCGCCACAGACAAAAGCAGAAGCTCAACACAAGAAAAACCATAAAGCTTGTGTGTTTTATTAGATCTGATGCAAAAAATAGAGGCCTGAAGCTGCAATGTAGCTTGCACAAATTTACGCACAGCAGTTCTGTCTGTGGCAATGATCCAGAAAATACCAGCTGCTTCTGCTTACCAGCTAGGAAATGTGGAAGTTACGGGCTCAGGAGGGACAATCTGACAATTTACTAAAGCTGCAGAACAACACAGCCTTTTTCTCACTGCAGTTCAATGTAAATAACACTGGTTCATGTTCACGGATGGGTGATGATGGTCAGCCGGCAAAGCCGAGATACATTGGCACTGCCCATTTCTTAACAGCTGCATGTTTCTTCTACTCTTTAGAAAAATAAGATGGCTTGTGGGGGAGGAGGTGACAAAACGAAGGGTGAAGAGCAGTAAACCTGCTGTCTGTATACAGAGACTGAATCACAGCAGGACTGCTACTCTCCAGCTGCAATGGCAAGCACTTATTTTCTCCCTATGGAGCTCTGTCCTTATTCATCCACTTTAGATGTTCCTGGATTCCCTCATACTTTAATTTGCGTGACAGAAAAAAAAAAATAAAAAAAAAAAGTTAAACTCGTGTAACACTTTTCAGCTCTTAGGTCCACATTTTAAAAACAACAAATAGAAGAAAAGGTGGGCAACTGAGGGGGAGAGGACAATCCTGCTATATCTGTGCCCTTATTTTAAGTCTTACACAGGTTTTGTCTCAAACAAATATGCTTTGACCTCACAGGTAATGTCTACTCCAGCATTTTTTCCCGAGGATTTCACCACACAAGTTTAAGTTTACATGGCAATTACTAGCTTGGATTGATTTTTTTCTGTAACAAGTATGTCTGATTTGCCAGTTAAAATGTATAGTAACTCATTTCCTGCTATAAAGCATATATTGGATTCAAAGTATACAAATAGTCTCTGCTGTATTTGCAAAGACTTCTTCACCTCACCTTCACTGCACTGTGTCAAGAGCACAAAAACAAACAAACAACTTCAACCTCACAAACGTTAACAATATATACTTAAAATAAGGATATGAACGCAAGATAGCTGAAGAAAACGCAAAGCACTGAAATCCGACAGGCTGAATGTGTTCCTAGTGCTCAGTACATGTCATTGTCCTTAATGTAAGGGACAGACACTTGACACTGGGAGTGAATTTAAGCATTTTCACGCCTCATAGTCATGCATTTTTGTGCCACAACCCAGAAGGCATCTGCACCAACATAATTTATGCAGCTGTATGAGTTTTTAATTCAGCTTGATTGCTATTTGTGTTATTTTCTGTATAAATTGAAATGCTGCTGCCAGTTTTCCCCCAAAGACTTATTTCTACCTCTGATGAGAAAGGTTGTGCTGATCAAGTGCTCTCAGTCATACTTATCGAGAATCTAAAATTGAATTAAATTACATACTTGCCATTTATAAAGTTCCTGAGGACCTTGTCTGTATCACATTAGAACTGAAGCATTGCTTAAGTAAGTAGCGTCCAGTGGGTCTTCAGCTGTGCCCAGAGCACACTACATCTTCTCATACATCTTCATTTGTTGAAAGAGCCCACAGTTATGTGCTTTATTAATCAATTTATTAAACCATGAAAAAGAATCAGTACTCTGCTCTCTGCACAGGCACAAAACCACTGGCCCTAGAGACCGATTGAATTGTAACGCAGCTCCGTGCAACCAATCAATGGACCCATCATTCTCTGAGAGCCGTAAGAAAATCCAGCTTTGGGGGTGGGAGGGCAGGTGGGGAATTTTCCCTTAATCAGCTGACCATATTCCTCTCATCCTTCTGTTGAATAAGTGAAGTACCCTGAGAAAGAAGCCTTATGTGACATCTTTCTCTCTTCTACAGAATGTTTTTAAAGAGAGAATCCAGCTTTACCTGAACTTTTAATTTTTTAACTGCAAACAACTGGGCTAAGGCTGAAATACCTTTCTACTGTGGCACAGTAGACAACATAGTCTTCCTTCAAATATCCTCTTCCTCCCCTCTTTGCCTTTATAATTTGTATCTGATGCTTGATAATCACAGACTTTTCTAAAATTGCTGAATTGGTAACACTATTCAGTCGTTAAGCCATAACAAAAGCACAGTACAATCTTCTGCACTAACAACACTGCGATATGACCTATCAGCATTTGGCAGATAATTCTACGACAATAAGATACAGACGAGCACATGCAAGGAAATTAAGAAAAAATAATAATTTAAAAAATAAATAAATCAACAAGTAGCTAATCAATAGGACTAAATCTGGGAGCATAAGGTGGCAGAGGAAAGAAGGAAATGCATGTCATTGCTTCATCTATTTAGAAAACGGATGTATTTAGCAGGGGTGGATCAGGGAAAACTTCTAACTGGCAGCGTGCATTACAACCAGAATTCGACTTTCTTTTGGGTTACTGAAGCAGTGAAATCCCATTCCAGTGTAATGAGATATGGTATGCATAATATTGGCTCAGACTTGTGCCAGACCACTTCTTAACAACTTCAGTCCTTGCCTGATGTCTCTACTCTGGAATGGTCACATCAGCACAATGAACTGAGACCCAGAAGCAGCACATGTGGAATGCAGACGTATCTCACACATGGGCTGCCTCGTCCAGTGCTTTGGGTTGGGTTCACTGGCTCTAAAGCCTCTTCTAACAGCTGTGTGTGAATACAAGTGAAGTGAAAGAATGGATGAAAAGTCCTTCTTTTACAAAACATCACAGAGAATTTGATTAAACGAAAACAGAAACCCCTTGTACGAAGAGAATGGACTATGAGTTAGGCGACTGCTTAATTTCTTTCTGCACACGTCTTCCATGCCACCCTGGGTCTCACATTCTCTTTGCTGCAGATATTCAACATTTTAGTGGCCAGCTCAGCCCAAACCACGACAATAATGCAAACAACAACCCTTTTACTCTTAAAAGCAGTTTCTTACAACTCTCTCCTTAGTGCCCAACACAAAGGGTACTATGAAAAAAGCAAAAAAAAAAAAAAAAAAACAACATTCTCATATAATGGGGGCTGAAATGAAAACAAGCATTCTAAATCTTTGCCAGCCCTGGAAGAAATAGAGAAATAACTGCAAGAATGCAAGGATAGGTGGTTCTTGGCAAGTCATTTAGAAGACTAAGTCAGACTTGATGCAATATTGTATTCATTTTTCTTGCTACTTTGTAGCAGAGAAAATGGCATATTTACAACACATATAGTATCTCTTACAAATCGTCACTTCAAAAGAAGTTACCAAGCAACATGGGGCCTTGATACCACTGTTAAGAGCAAATGCAAAAGATAATTTTTTTTCTTTTTTCATTATCTATTTAACAACTGTAAATATACTGTGTGTATTGTGTTTACCTGTCACTTAAATACTATCAAAATAAAACATTCTCATGGTAGGTAATCAAGAAGTTTGTGACTCAAGATAAATATGACTTTGATATACCTGTATACTAAAGTATACCTACTCGCAGCTATCCTCAGGATTGACTACATGTAGCAAATCCATACAGAAAAGACTCCTGAAAAGGGTCTTAAAATGGACAAATCCAACAAATTCTTGTACATGAGCGCCATACCACCAATGGATAAGGAAGTCAAGTCCTTGTCTCTCACTAAGGTCAATGAGGTCATTTTAATTTTCAAACGACTAGGCAATTTAGGACCCAAAGTAACAATTAAAGGAAGGCTGCTCAGGCTTTTGTCCTATGTCCCAGATTCTTACTGGTGTATCAGTGCCCATTTTCCACTCATTTCAGTGACATGTAGCTACCAAAAGGTTTACCTAAAATGGCCTCAAATACTCCTGAAAGTATGTGTCCCCTTGAGAATTCCAGATAATAATTTGCTGACTTTAGGGAGCAAAATAACCCAGTGATAATGACCAACACATCTCTTGTATGTTGAGCACAGGACACATGCAATGCATAAGTTGTGATCTTGTAGTATATCTCACAGTTGTTGAGCCGAGTCCAACTGAAGTCAATAAATATGTATTATCTGGTCTGCCAGAGAAGTCTCCTGAAAGAGACCATTGTGATTCATTTCACAGCTCTAAAATATTACTTACATGTCTATGTGAATCTTTTAACTATGAGATGCTGTAAATAGTATTTCTATTGAGTGTTTACATGATATCTGACAACTGATTGCTTCAGTAGTCAGATTTTCTTATTCACTTGAAATTAGTATGTAAGGCAAGCAAAACATTACCTTGATTTTCTTCCAGCTTCCCAATTGTTTCTATCTGCTCAACAAGGTCGTTTGAGTTCCACTGGCTCATGCCTATAAGAATGGCACTTTTTCCTTCCACCATCTCTTCTATAGGAAGAAAAAGGAGAACAGAACAAATTGCAGTGACAAACAGGAAAAAAAAAGACAGGGCAAGAACCAGCAATTGAGAGAGAAATAACCACGAAGTCCAATTTCACAAAGATAGAAGGATCCATTAAATCGTTTCTGCATAATTCCTGAACAAGCCATATCAAATAGTTTCGTCCTGATATCACTGATCAACCAAGCACAAATCATTTGACTTTCATAAGAAAAACCATTATACCAATATCTGTCTCCATTTAGAACTGCCCCATTTCAATGGACAGTTATAGTGTTCTAGGTGAGGCTAGAGTTGGATTTCTGCTACACTAGTCGCAGAATTAATCCCGCCTTGCTTGTTCTGCTCTTCAGAAAAACAAATGAAACATCAGAAAAGCATTAGATTTCGCTCCTACAAACAAAACCAAAACCAGAGCCCCCATCTCCCCCTGTGGGTGGTTGCATGTGCACACAACCTACAAATTTTACTCCCACTTCAGAATAAAACATGTAAAACATGTTAAAGAGCATGCCAAGATTCAGGGTCTCATCAGATGTTGTAGGGAGCATTACATTTTGGATTCACCCAATCAAATCCACAAGCATTCAGATATTGCTGCTTCTTGAACAAGCAGAGTTTCCTGTCCCTTGAGTCAAAGTTCTGACAGAGTGGAAAATCTAGGCTGTTGGTTTTAAAAGTTGGACATCAGTAACAGAGAGAGTCACATCCTTCATCAGGAACTTTAAACGAGAGTACTCACAACTGTAACATCACACACTACCTGACCTGTAAGCAAGCCGGGCCCAAGAGATCCTGTGAAGGTCTGTGGCTCTTCTGATGCCAGACCCAGCTCACGGCAGCTCATTCATCTACCCGATGCTCTTTACCCACCTCCTGTAAACCTAACTCCATTCACAAATCCTTGAGAGAAGATCTCACAGCTTTGTTTCAGATTTCAGTTTGATGAGGGCATTGTTGTCAGTGTGCTCCCAGAGGAGCTTAGTGACTAGCTGTAAAATTGGGGAAAGAACGGAGAGGGGAAGACAAAAACGTGTACTGACCTCGTGCATCGAAGAATTCATCATCAGAGCTCTCCACGGAGTCTTTGAGGACGTTCTGCATGTGCCACTGAGCTCCACTGAATCGCCGCTGGCCAGCTGGAAATACAGAGACTCACATTAACCCACAAGAACGCTCACCTCTGCTCAAGGCTTAAAGAAAAAAAAAAATTAATAAACATTTTGAGTAGATGGCTCAGTAGGATCAGTTTGGTCAGCACACATACTTTAATCTCAACAGTCAGGTTGAGTTGTCAGGATGGCATAAAAATTACACCTTTCCCTTCCACCTAACCAAAGTGATTAAACAAGTTCTTGTTAAAGATAAGCCTGCATCACTTTCATCTAATGCAGTGACTTGAAAAGATACATTCTTCCCTGTTGAATTCACTGGGCTGTTCAATTCCAACACTCAAACTGTACATTGTTTCTAAGACATGAAGCAGCATTTCCCCGGGACATGGCAGTAGCTCCCATTTAAATTCAATTTCACTTTTAAAAGAAGTGCCATCCTATTTAGCTCACAGATTTACAGACAAACTAGTGAGTTCTCACTCACTGAGCTGTTTTCATCAGCTTTGTTTTGCTGGAGCCTGGGGCTTTCATTTGAAGCTTGCCACTTGAAGAAAGGAAGGCAAAACCCTGTTAGATTAGGTACAGTAACAGATACAGTCATGACAACTTAGATGTTCTCAATGGATTATTATACTCAAACGAATTTGTAATTAGTAAATCAGACCTGCCTAACTATACCTGTTCTCCTTATATCTACAGCAACCTGGCACTAGAAAATAGTAGTTCAATATAGTCCTTATATTTATAATAAAGTCTCCTCCAAATCAGCAGGAAACCAGGGATCAAATCCACCATATCCATAACAACACTACAGCTGTTGTAGAAAGGACCTTTGTTACCAAACAGAAGAGTGTCCTTGGTTTTATTCATTTCTCCAAATGATGACATCAGACCTGAAATCTAATATCCTGAGGCCCTGCCCAAAAAAGCATTCTCCCCCTCCCGTTAGTAATAAAGAAACTCAACCAGGAGAAGCATCCCTCTACATTATGCTGGGGAAAACATGCCACTAGGTCACAGCCTGTTGCTCTAGTTTTACGTCATCTACAGATGAATTAATCAGAAATACAAATGAAAGGTGGCAGGAGGAAGCAGATTTTAGCTGGCCAAGAAGAGAGTAAAAATAATAATCAGTTAATCGCATTTTAATAGCTTAAAAAAACACACCACCCCCCCAAACCATTAAAAATAATTTATTAAGGAGTCAGTGTTAATTACAAGAGTACTGTGTTATTGGGAATGTGTCCCGTGGTGTTCGGCAGCTAACAGAGGATGCATACAGATCATTACAGTAACTGTTACAGATTTCTGGAACCTTTTACTAATGACAGAGGATAGCAAACTGAGTTATTCCTTACCAAACAACACCTTGCTGTTTCTTCCTCCAGATATAAGTATCCCAAAAATTATCACTATAGCCATCAAAATAGTGGTAGAAAGAACACATTTCTGAACTTCTAATAAAGAAAAGTCAATACTTGAAAGAGCAGAAATTCCAGAATTTCAAAGCATGAGAATGGGAAGCACCACAAAAAAGCCAGAGTGACAGATGGGAAAGGGAGAATTTGCAAAATTTGGTCTTCAGATAAGAGCTCATACACTACAAAAGAGCAGAAGGAAGGAATAAATTGCCTCACCTTTGGAGCTGCTTTGAAAACCAAAATATAATATTATTACTCTTAGAATAAAAATTCTTGAGTAAACTACTCTCTCAGCTTATGTAGAGTATTAGATTTCCTGATCACAAGTGTTCAGATCTATGAGCAGAAAGAAGCAAGGCATTAAATCAGGAAATTTATGAAGAACCTATAAAAGAGAGACAGGTCCACAGAACACGAGAACAAGTGTGAGACAGAGAGAATGATAAGAAGACAAAGGACCACCTCGAACATCTCGAGAGTATTCAGATTGTCCCTCGGCAAGCAAGCGGCTCCCCACTCAAGATACTCTGGTCCATCAAGTATCTGTGACTAAAGCTGAATTTCTGTGCATTTCGGTGGATGTTTATTAAACCACAGGAACATTCAAACTAAGACAGACAGACTTCATTAGTAACACAGAGTTAACGCCTTTTAGGGTCCTGTAGATGCAAACAATCCCACACTGAACATAAATTTCACACTGAGAAAACTCTGCTCAGATTTTCCAGACCAGATGTCTGTACTGATGATAGTTCTTCCAAGGCTAAAAACTGAGGAGTCTGATTTTCGTATATTTTGAGCATTCAGTGACTCCAGAAGAAGCCAGAGGGCTACACTTGCAGAAACAAACAAACAAAAATGTCCTTTTAGGGCAGCAGATCATTTGTTTTGATGAGCCATTTAGGGACCTGACTTTTAGAAGTTAGTTTCTCTGCACTTTTTATAGCCATATAACTGTATGCCTCTCGTCAGGCACCACAGATGCAGGTATCCAAAGCCAGCAAACACTGGGAAAAAGAACAAACAAACAAACAAAACACCAGAAGAAACAAGTATCTGGCATTTTGGATAACTATTTTCAGGATTTGACTTATCGTGATTTTAAAGATTCTCCAATTTTTGTTACATTGGTCAGCTATGTGTTCCATGAATTGGTGAAGTTCTATTCAATGTAGCCTTGGGCTTCCATAATTCTCCAGTAAAAGCTTAAGATTTAAACCAGAAGGAGACACTCATTCTTCCTTCCTTTTCTTCTCTGCCTTTACTGGTATCTAGTCCCCTTGCAAAATCCACAGTTACAGGTTAATCCAACACCTGCAATACGCAGACCATTTCATGGTATTTGCTTTCTCACCTCTGTTTTCATTTGGTGCCTCTGCTGAAGACAGACACTTCTCCTGGGAAGAAGCTGTCTGCTACTCTTTGTTTTTACCTAACAGATTTTGAGACATTACTCTCACAAAGACAGCAAATAGCATCAAAACCACTACAAAAATCACCGAAGAGTAAGGTAGTTTAAGCATTTGTATCTGATAGCCATCCTGAAAGTGCTTTTGTTTTCTCAATCAAATAAAAATTCATTCAGATCAAGACATTTATGACTGTGATCCACTTCTGCATACCAGAATAGAACTAGAGTTTAGAATTAATGGATTCAGAATTTAAGCTATTTATCAAGGAAGCCTAGCAGCAAAAAAAAAATTTAAAAAATTTAAGAATATATAAATAAATCCCCAGGTTTAATTCCAGATAATTTCAGATGGATTATGAAAATAATCTGATCTGCATTTGACTGGAGGGAACAAAGAACTCTTGCAAAAAAAATTATATAAATCTCAAGAGAATAACAGACAAAATCCAAAAAACTCAGTCTTGGTATAAAACTTATTTTTTTAAGGACTGTATTCATTACTTGACATTTTGGCTGTCAAACTCAGACTTGGAGCACAAAATACCCCAAGAAGATAGACATCAATGACGCGTGACTTCCCAAGGCCAGCCCACTCATAGTAATTACAGAACACAGTTGACTGCATTTAAATCCCCACAGTGTGCAGAAAACTGTTTCCTACTGAAGCCATGTTTGACAGTCTTATGAGAGACAGAATGCTAAACAAATGCTTAAAAAAGTATGGTTCTTCTAACTGAAGGAGTGGTATTAATAAGTGTTCATTTCACATTTTCACCTTTTTTTTTACCCCTTTTTATTTCTGTTTAAGAAAACCTCTGTAACAATATACAATGTTTTTAAAGGTTGCAATTTTTTAAACTATCGTGGCCAATATGGAAGAGTCATTTCAAGCTTTTATGTACCACAGTAATGTGCATATTTAAATTGTTTGTTAAAAAATACCACTGCAAAAGCCCCCACCATCAGGCACTAGGATCACATTTGGTACTGTATTTTTTTTTGTCACACATCCACTTGAAAAACTCTCCAATTATACTTAATGTATCAGGTGAATGCATGATTCATTGAAGACTCATTCTTCACTATGATTATCATTCTTTTGCTATGATTCATTGATACAGTAGAGCACTGTTTAAAGATTGTAACAGCCAACACTTTTCCTATATTCACAGTTCCCTTAAAAATACAGATAAATTTGTACCCATTTTGAGAAAAAGAGAAAAAGAAGATCCTCACCCTGGGCTGTTTCCAGACCAAAATAAGAACCAATAAAGCCAAGTCAGACAATTGTGTGCACACCGGTGTTTGCAAGCATGTGGATCAAAAGCTTTGTGACATGAAAGAAGCATCCTAGAGACACCGTGGTGAGATTTGTCTTCACAACCAAAATCCTGGTAGAAGTCTCACCTTTAAACAGTAAATACATGTATAGACTTAGGCCTTGCAAATGTAGTGAGAAACAACTGCAACTCCTCTCCGCTCCACTGCTCTGTCTTTTCGAACTAATTATTATCCATGTAAGACTAAGGCAAATACCTGCAGCATTCAATGAGGCTAACAGCACCAAATCTGCCTTCTGGCACAGCTTCACTGGGGTCAACAGTTATCTCAGCAGGGATCCATTTGTACAGGTGAAGTCAGCATATCAAACGAGTTTAAGTGTCTGCCTCCAAGCTCGGCATGCATAATGATGCCATAGCCCTGTATCAGCCTCCTGTAAATAACTCTGGACATTCATTCAGGTGTTTAAACAATGATTCAAAAATCTGGCTACAGCATCTCTTCACAGGAAAATCCCTAGGCAAACTCAGGTTAAAAGGAGCATGTAGATAGTCTCAGTGCATATGGAGTGAAACCATGTAATTCCACTTCATGTCCTGTTATTCATCATTTTAGGATTCAAAAGACCATGAGTATCTTCATAAGCAACACCATTCTAGCGTTACTTAATCTGGATTAAGTATGACAAATAACGTAAAGTTGAAGGAACTTCCACCTGAATAAGAGCCTAAAAGGCCTTGCAGGTATTGTTGCTTTTTTTGCCAGAATAAAAAGTTTTCTATTTTAGCCACCAGAATTTGCTGGGAAGGAAAGAAGGAAGAAGGCTATATAAATATGAAACTGTAAAGACTTCACAAGAAGAAAACAGCAGCTCCCCGGGAAAGAACTGCCACTAGCCTGGCTGGAAATCAGTAACAGCGCTGGCCCCAAAAAGAAAGCTCACGCTTCCAGTGACCTTGGTGTTGGATGCAGACTGTGAAGGGAGGACAGCGAAAAGCATCACAAATCTCCAGGCATAAATTCTGGCTACGAGAAAAGCCCTTGGGAACATCAGTTTTATCGTACTGTAGTAGGAATGCTTCTAGATTTAGAAGCAGTTTAAACAGCCCCAGTCAGGAGCACAAGTCTGCGTAAGCTCACTGGAGCAGTTCTCCAGATCTATGTTTATTTGCTGCACTGCGTTACCCTCATACATTAGTCTTACTGAGTCTGTTTCCTTCTGTGCCAACAGATTAGCATTAGCCACCTTAATAGAACTCTATTAACATTTCTTGATTGCATTAAACACTGGCATTGCCTGGACTCACTGATTTGATTTACAGTGTCAACTGCTGCATATTTTATTTTATTTTATTTATTTCAGAGAACAGAAAGACCAGCCATACTTCAAAATGCAGGCTAACTCCTCAGTGATGACACTTGATGCTTTTATGTCAGCAAACTTTATCAGATTTGTTGACTGATTCTTAGCAGGCAGATTTCAGTGGGGGTTTTTTGCAAGCCTATGAAGTCAGGAAAAAGAAAAGGCATTTATAAAGCCTACAGGAGAGCTGGGAGGGACTCTTTGTCAGGAAGTGTAGTGACAGGACAAGGGGTAATGGTTTTAAATTAGAAGAGGGGAGATTTGGATTGGATACCAGGAAGAAATTCTTTACTGTGAGCATGGTGAGGCACTGGAACAAGTTGCCCAGAGAAGTTGTGAATGCCCCATCCCTGGAGGGGTCCAGGTTGGAGGGGGCTTGGAGCAACCTGGTCTGGTGGGAGCTGTCCCTGCCCATGGCAGGGAGGTTGTAACTTGATGATCTTTAAGGTCCCTTTCAACTCTAACCATGCTATGATTCTATGATTTGTTCCATTCCAGTAACTGGCAATACCTCGGATGTGGGATAAAGCCATGCCGTACACAGGTGGCCCCAGGTCTGTAGGTGCCCCACACACAGGGAGATGAAGTATGTGCGGAGCACAGTAATAGCTTCTGTAAAATGGAAGGAATGTTTGTTTGCCTGCGGAAATGATGTCCTCTAGTGGACAGCACACTTGACCAAGATACAAGGCTCTGCCACTGGATCTAATGGGTTGAAAAGTAATTTTACAAATGCCCCAGGGAAGAAGCCTAGCCCTGCTGTGAAACCACAGCCATGTTACCCTTTCTCACTGGCTCAGCCTGCTCCTCAGCTTGAATAAGCTTTTTACAAACACCAACTGCAGCTGAAAAAGAAAACCGTGGCACAAGCCATTGCTGTTTGCAGCAGAACTTCACCAGCAGGATCAGCACAAACACTTTGGGAGTGATTTTATACCCAAACCACGTTTGTGAGTGGCACAGTCCAGAAGCGTCAGTTTAAGAATCACCCCAGCATCTAAAGGATTTTCTCTCCTTAACAAGGCGTGAATCAATGGTTAACTTGTCAGGCAAACAGGATAGATGGAAGGAAAGCAGGCAGACCGGCAGTGTCACTAATGAAACAGTGTCACTAATGAACAAGGCCCAACAGAGCTCCCAGGCTGAGGCATGCCGGTACCTGACCCTGCAGGAAGATGCCCTCCCGCAGGCTGGGATAAGAACAGCGACTACCGTAGGACGACCACAGCAAGGGGCTTTCCTGAAAAACTATTCAATGCCATTGACATCACTGTCATACTATCACAGATGTAGAGCTTTGCAGCAGCCCCAGCAGTTTGCTGCACCTTTTGCTTCCTAATAAGCGTTTGCCGATCCAGCCTCAACACAAGCATATGCCACGGATGGGAGACCATAAAAAAGCACTCCCAAATACCACTACCACACCAACCCAGTCAGCAAAGACAAAATAGCACGCAATGTTCTCATAGCTACTGAAAACTCAGTCTTTTACATAGGAAAGTATTGAAGGTTGATTTAATCTCAATTTTAAAAAAATATTCAAAAATAAACTCTATTGCACAGATTAAAACATTTCCACTTGTCAAAACTTGTTTTAGAACCATGACCATTTTGAATTCAGAGAAGGTTTTCCTAATAAAATTTTAAAAGTACAAGTCATTTTTCCATTTGGAAAGAGGTGCTGGGTTGAAGGAATGACCTTTGCTGGTGCCATTGACTGTTGTTGCATAATAATACTTCTTTCTGTTCTGCTGGTTTCAGATGCTTCCTGCCTACCCATTAAGTGATTTAACTGAGCTACCCACACAGTGTTACCTAATGACTACGCAGTGAAGACTAACCAGAGGCCAAAATTACCCACTGTTATTTTCTAGTTACGTTTTATTCCTTCTTTGGCAAATGTAAAACTGAAAATGTACTTTAAAAAGACGTGAATTTAACTACTGGAGGCACTCTTCAGACTCAGGAGCTCAGGCAAGACAGAGGGAGCTGCTGATCCTCCCCCTAATTATTGCAGAGTGAAAACTGACGTATGCTCAGAGCAAGCCCTCACCCGAGCACTGGCCACCAGAAAAGGACCATACACGCCATTACTGCCAGCAGGGCCACAGAGAACTCATCCAAAGTCACACTATGAATCTACAGCAGAGAGTGGAACTGAAATTAAATCAGCTGAAATTGCAATGAAATCCATTGCCAGTGGAAGGGACTTGGGGGGGAGTGGGAGGCCTACAGAAACGTGAGGCCGAAGAGGACAAGAGGAGGCCAGAGGGGGAGAAAAATAAAAGCAGAGGCGAGAGGGAGGTCAGAGAGAGCATACAAAGACAAGGGGAAGGGAAGAAAAAAGTGGAAGGCCAATGGGGAGAGCGCTCAGAGGGGGACGTGGGAGGCCAGACAGGTGGAGTAGAGAAGGAGGAAAATAAACAACAGAACGTGATGGGAGAGATGGAGGCTGAGGAGGAGACAGCAGGAGGCCGGGGGGGAGAACGCGCAAGGCCAGGAGAAGACGGGGAGCCAGAGTGAGGAGGGGGGAGCCCCAGAGGAGAGAGGGGGAAGTTCTCCCCACTCTCCAGAAGAGTGGGAGACCAAGGGAGAGGGGGGGGAAAGCAGGGAGCAGAGGCAAATGCAGGAGTGGGAGGCATCCCACCAATCTGACCGTAGCTGCTTATAAGGGATGTGTTTCCTCCTTCCCACCAGGGAGAGCCATCACCTGGCCCTGTAGCTGAGCTGGTAAAGACTGTAAAACCAGCAGAAAACAAACTTTCTAAAAATTTAACATAACAAAGAGTTTTCCACTTGTTTGATTCCCAGAACTAGACTGCAGAAGCACTGGGGAAGCCTGGAAGCTGGCATAGGAAAGAGGAGGAAATACACAAGATTTCTCGTACTGTTGGCAGCAAGCTGCCAGATCATCAACCCATACCTTCCATTCCTGAACCTGCAGTACTCTACAGGCCAAGTCCTGCTCTAAGGAAATCTGTGTACGCCTACAGTCCTGTGAATTGCAGACTTGGAAGCATTGCTGCACTTCAGAAAGAGGACAGAAGAGGAAGAATTAAAAGAGACAGAAGTGGGAGCTTTAAGAACAAGCACTGGGAGAAAGTTCCTGGTTTAAGAGGTAGCAAGATGAAAGGCAAGAAATCAGGCGCATGTAAGTGGGAGAAAAGGAGAAGAAAAAGGTAATCCTGAAAGGGCAATAAAGCAAACAGGGTCTCAGAGTGAACTAAGTCACTAAGTTTATCAGAGAAGCCGCAGCCTGGAGGAGAGATATTAACAATACCCTCTCTGAGAGCCATCCTGGGCTGACGGAGGCAGTGTACTGAGATAGGATTTCCAAGAGGTGGGAAAAGGGTTGACAGGTACAAAGGAAAAAATTGAGAGGTGAAGAAAAGCACTAAGGGAAGGATAAAGTGGTCAGTTTTGGAAAGAAAGAAGCTTTTAAGTGGTAGTGTAAAGGAGAAGCAGCTTGAACACAGTCAGCAACATCAAGCACGTACCAGGAAAGGCTAGAAAGGGGAAAGAGTCAGGAGCTCCCTTTATTCTCATTGTGGCTGCATCAGTCCCTAAATAAAAATCAAAAGGAGAGCAAAGAGCACAGCTGACAAAGCCAGAGACATAGTGAAAGGCAGAAGAAAGTCCACACAAAATGCAGCTTCCCTTGTCAAGAAGTCAAGTGAAAGAGCTAACTGAAGGAACAGTCCATATACCACTGTGGTCAGAAGTATCCAATATAACCAACTCCTCTCTCCCATCCCTCACTAGGTGTCATTCATCTCATAGCAATTCAGCAACGACAAGTCCTTGGTTACCTACTATATACATCCTTCAACTGGCAGTTTTGCAGCAGATGGTAAGGACAGGCATATATTTGCTTATTGAGTACAGGAAAAAAATCAAGAAATGAAGCCATGCAGGCCTTTAAGCCCCTATTTTAAGGTACCAGTGACATTTTCAGTCTTGCACATTATGGGATTACTGGTGAGATGAAGGAAGAGAGAGAGGAGGTTTAGCATGGCTCTTCAGACTCCAAATACCAGATCAAGCTTTCCTGTAGAAGCCATTTCTTGATGCTTCAGATGCCAGTTTCCCCACAGCAGAAATTAACTTCACCCTCCCTCTCAGCAGTATCACCACCTCCTCCAAATTCACTCCCCAAAACCGGAGAAGATATGAATATTCTCTAACCTTTTCCTGCAACGACTGTAGGTGGACTGCCTGCATCACATCTGAAAGACTCTACTTTCACAGTGCAGAGATTTTGGCTTTCTGAGGAGGATCTGGCACTTTTGAGTCACTGTTGCCTGTTAAAAAATGAAGTAGGTGATGAAGAGCAGATACCACACCACCCCCACAGGGATATGTCAGGTAGTGATGTACAGTTGCCGCTACATGGTTTTGCAACCTACAGTCCTGCAAATGTCCAAGTATTTCTGCGCAGGGACAGCATTTCTCCAATGGCTTTTAAAATCTAGAACCCACTAGGTGAGATCTGGCTACTCAAACGAGTCAAGTCGACTGCCTCTAAAAGCCCTTTATAAATACACGTCATTCAACAGTGACCAGGCAGCAGAATTCATGGCTACTAGAACGATGGTCTTTCTTTGTATTTGTGATAAGATTACAGCACTGGCAGAGGCTGCAAGGCAAGCAAAAGCAAAACAGCCACAACATTTCTATATTTATGCACATTCCAGCTCACTCTGATAAACTCAGTAGGCTCAATTTATAAAAGCAGCACATTTCCCCTGCTCCTAACCCAGATGCATTCTGCCAGAGTTCCATAGTGAATGGTCAGTTCTTGCTTTTCTTTACAATAAGTAGTAGTGACAACACTGTAAAGCTGGCAGCAAAAGTCATATTTTGTCTACCAAAGCAAGTGGAATCACATCCAAGGGAAGTAGTATCCTCTAAAATTCCTGTGCAAAATTGGATCTGAACAAGCAAGCTATTACATTGCTCAAGAACCCTGAAAGGGAATGCATTGCTTACTTATTTTCCTATCAAAGTTAAACGGACTGCAAACCAATGCCAAAGACAAAATAATGAGACTTTTTCCCCATTTGATTATTTCTTCATCTTCCAAAGACGAAAAAGAACCATTTAGTTCAATACTATATTTGCATCTTCTGAAATCACTGATGCTTTCATGTTCCTGAACGCTATGTCTCTGGGTGTATTTGCAGGAAATAATAATTAAAAAAACAACCAATAAACACTGCTGGTCAAAACCTTTGGATTCGGCCTTAACATGACTATGGTGCTGTAAAGCTGTGCCAAGAGCTGGCACCATGCACCAGGCGAGTGTCACACACGGCCCGGCAGCGGCTCGGTCACACCGAGATTAGGCCTTCCCTCCCAAAAGCCGCGGGAAAACCCCTCCCGCAGCCGCCAGAGCCCAACGTCAGTCCTGCCACCGGCACTGGCCGTTCCCGCACGCGGTCTGTGTGCCACCCGCTGCGGGGCACCAGGGCTCTGCCGCCGAGCACCCACCCCCGGGCCCTGGCCCCCCGACCCCACGCCGCTCCGGCACCGGGGGAAGCAGGCGTTAAAACGCTGTCCTGCAATGGGCAGGACAGACCGCACCGGCCGGTTCCCCTCAGCCCACCAACACGCCTCTGCCGTTTCCAGAGCAGCCCACGGCCGCTGCGTCCCAGCCCCTTGCTCCCGGCAGGCGGCAGCGAGCACCGGCTGCACAGAGCGGCAGCCGCAGAGCTCCCCCGCGCTGCGGAGACGCTTCCTGGCCCCGCACCGGGAGGTGCCCGGGCAGCGGCCACCGGGTCGGCCCCCCCGACCCCGAGCACCGGCCGAGGCGGGCGCCGAAGGCACAGCGGACGCCGCTGGCAAAAGACGGGGAAGCGAACGCACCCGCGTCTCGTTCACGCAAGTTTGCGTTTACCGCTCCGGGGGGTGGGCGGACGCGGGGCTAGGGCTGCCCGCCAGGCCGCCGGTGGGCGGGGGCGCGCCTAAGCCTTGCCGGCCGGGACAGGGGCCCGGCTCCCCTCAGGGCGGCACCCGCCCCGCGCCCCCCTCACGG